CTGCACAAGGGAACAGAAAACAGAGAAATTCAAACAGAAGACCTGCTGTGTGAGAGACACCAGGAGCATCCAACAAGTGCTTCACCACAGCTTCCAAAATGGCACAACTCTCCTGAAGTGCCAGGAGAGCTGAGCCCTCGGGAAGTAGTTCCTACCCATCACCCAGATGTGGGAACGCGTCAGCATCAGGAAGCTAGGTTCCTGATGAAGAATTGCCCCAAGAGACTATGGCACACGGGAACAATATACAAGGCCCTGGGAGAGCAGTCCTGATATACTCTAGTCCTAGGGAGGCCATGAGTTTGAGTCATAAGAGAGAAGCCTTCTCAGCACACACAGCTGAAACCCTTTTTACCCCACGTTGCATTAACACTATGACCTTAGGGATGCAAAAAGATGCTCGCACATGTAGTGACTGGTTAAGCTGAAACCAACCAATGGTCCTCAGAAAAAGTCTAAGGTCATCACGCACAGACACTCAAATATGCATGCTCAGTAGGGTGCTGGTCTCCACTAATCTCTGTTTACCCTACTTTTGACACCACCATACACTGCGAGGTGGTAGGACTGGGTCAACACAGCTAACTGGACATAAGCAACACAGTGGCATGGCCACAAGATTCAGAGCAGGCAGAGTTGGTGATGCAGCTGCAGGACCTCTGCCTGGACTCTACTTACAGCACAGCTGAAGAAAACAGCACTGCCCTCTGGGACAGAGTCCTGAGCCCTGAAGGTTGGTGGCATTCCTACCATGTACAGACACTGAGCATCAGAAGGGGTCAAGTCGGACTCCTCATGGAACAGACTTAGTTACAGTTCCCATGGAGATGCCCACACCAGGTAGAACGGTGACCACCATGAGGATAGTGACCCCAGTGTGGTAAGTCAGGGAGGAGGGCAGAGTTAAGGGCAACCCGAATCCTGTCTGGACAGCTGTGCACAGGCTGGGATGGCACTGTTGAGCCACCTTCAACTCTTGTACGTTTTACCATGTCCTCTGAGGCAGTGCCTCACTCTCCCATACATGGAAATGGGACCAGTCCGGCCTCCAAAGCTGCTCTGGTCTTCAGGCGTGAGCCTGGCCCAAGCGCTTATACATCTGTCAGTGCTGAGCTAACTACTAGCTCATTCGGTTAGAGCCAGTTCTTCAGAATAAAACAAAGTCTGTCTATTGGGAGCATTTGACATTGCATGGGCCTCTGACCCCTTCAGGTCCAGGGATACCAGAGAATGCACGTGATACCTGTGGGTCAGGAACTGTCAAAACTAAATTTTAAAGTAGCGTCCACAAATAATAAAAAAAAATGTTAAAACCATATCCACTCTACATAATAAACTACCATTTTAAAAAGACATCTAGGAGCTGGGAGTGTATTAGGAACTGCTTGCCTTGTTCCCCAGCACCACCTAAAATGGTCATAGTGGAGGCAGGAGGTTCAGAAGTTCAAGGTTACTCGGCTAAATAGTAAGTTCAAGGCCAGCTTGGACACTTGAGATCGTGTGCCTACATTTAGAAAATGAAGCCATCTATCTCAAGTCCAAGAACAACAGGGAGCCCTGTTTCACAACAATCACGGTGGCCTTGGGGGAAACACTTAGGAATTCACGTTTTCACAGTTACTCCCTCGAGGGAAAGCACAGGTTCACCCGCGCTCCCGCAGCAACAGCTGGAGCCTCCCATAAGTCTTAGTGGTGGCCACAAACAAGTTCCCTGCCAGGACGAAAATCAAAACAACTTCTTTTAGTGAAATTCCCGGTCCCGCTCCAAGTCCAGCAGCCTTTCCTCGCAGGCACACTTGCCCTGCCCACGCCGCCACAGTCTGCTTTCGGAACCCATCGGCCTTTCGGAGCCAGGCCTGAACTTGCATCCCAAGCGGTGCTCCACGCAAACAAACCAGAGAGACGCTCCGCTAGGACTTCAGCTCTGGGAGATGGGCATGAGTTTAACATTCAGCAGAAGTTTCTCGCGCGCGACGACAGACAGCTGCCCAACAGCTCCCACTAACCCCTGAAAAGCTCCAGCTCACCTCGACACCCTCTTTCTTGTTCCCCGCAACGCGCTCACCTGCGGTCAGATGGGGGTCACTGGGGGTGGGGCACTGGCCTGGAAAGTCCGAGGGGTGGATCAGGCCGGAAAGAGTCCTACACCTAAAAATGTCCGCAGGCGAAATGTGTCCGTCTATCTAATCTGTCCCTGTGTGCACAGCCTGGGTAATGGGTTCCGGATTCGAACGTTCCGGTTTATTCACAGACCAAGACTGGTCTTAAGTCCTGTGCAGGATTGCCAAAGAGTGGCTTTTAGGTGCTTGACTGCTGTTTCCAGACCTCTGGATCCTTTGTCCTGATAGAAAAAGTTCTATGTTGCTTGCATTGGGTCAGCTTTAACTTTTTTTTTTTTTTTTTTTTAAGAGAGGGTCTCATGTAACCCAAACTGGCTTTGGATTTACTAAGTATCCAGGATGACCTACCTCTACCCTTTGAGTGCTGATTAATGATAGGCTGCCTCACCACACCTGGCTTTTGCAGCGCTGAGGATAAAGCCCGGGAATTCACACATGCACCCCAACAACTCTGAGCTGTATTTTTTTGCCTCAGCCCTCAATTTTCATTTTAACATGGTCGCCGTGGCAGGAGGCACTATAGAGCTGTGGGCAGAATGTAAATGGGTTCCCTTGGTCCCTGAAGAGGGGCCCCTTGGCTTGCAGCTGAGAGTCTGTGTGTTAAAGGTGATTTTTAAACCCATGTGACACATTGTGTGAGAATCCCTTCTCACAGGAACTCAGGAACTGTAGCAGGGTCTTTTCTTCTCTATAGCAAAGGCTGCCATCAAACTCCTGGTAATTCCACTGCCTCAGCCTCCTGAGTATTGGGATCACAGGTCTGTGCCACCAGAGCCAGCTTTCGGGTATAGTAAAGGAAACATTGAAAGCTAAACACTAAGTCCATTCGTCAGTGGCAGCAAGGCTAGAGACACAGTTCCACCACCTGCAGTAGCCGGAGCAGCTTCCCAGACCTCTACATCAGTAAAGTGGAGATTCTTGACTCTGGACTTCAGGATGTCAGTGTGAAGCGAAGTTGGAGTTATTGAGACATGATTTTAGCATAGTTTTAAGCATAGACCTTGAGACAGACTACCTTGTGGGGGAACTGGTTTAGGATAAGGATGGTATAGACCCCGGTATGGATGTGGGCTTCAGAGGGGAACACTCAGTGTCTTTACAATAGGCATATACACAATTCAGGTGGCTTCTGAAGTTACATTGTTTCTAATGAACACTGTTTCCTTTTCTTTCCCTCTTTGGTAAATGAGATCACAGAGAGGAAGGGACAGAGCATCAGCATCAACCACAGTGTCTAACATTGGAATTTACACCCTAGGCCCCAGGACTTCTGTGTTTAAATGTCTACTTCCAAAGCATAGACATAGACATGACCTGGAGATGCAACTCAGCTTCTGCAACCCCTGGGCCTTGGCGACTGTCAAGAATATGGATTTGGGGTAGGAGTGGCCCAATTGTTAGCATAACACCCTGGATCTGATCCCCAGCACTGTATAAACCAGACATGGTGGTGCATGCCTATAATCCCAGCATATGGGATGTGGAAGCAAAAGGATTAGAAATTCAAGGTTATAAAGAGAGTTTGAAGCCAGCTTGATCTACATAAGATTGTCTCAAAAGTGAAACAAAAGAGATAGAAGGGATGGAGAGATGGCTCAACAGTTAAGGGCATGTATTCCTCTCCAAAAAGATCTAGGTTTGATTCCAAGCATTTATACCAGGCAGTTCACAGCTGCCTATAACTTTAGCTCCAGAGAGATCCTGTTTTTGTGGATGCATGCATGCACACTTATACTTAAACAAAAATAATAAGAGACCCATTGTTTGTTTGAATGGGACAGTGGCACTGGCAAGGATGGTGGTGGTTTGGGAGTCTCCATGGTCACTCTCCATGCCACCCTGACCATAGCACAAGCTGTCAGGAATGACCAGACATTTGAGGTTAGCCAGATGGCCGCTAACATGAGTGATGTAAGCTAACATGCTCAAAAAAAAAAAAAAAAAAAAAAAAAGATGCAGAGAGCAGGGATGGTCACGTGAGGACAACTCCAAAGCAACCCCTATTACTGTCATCAGAGCTGAGGCTCAAAGGTCCCACAAGACCAAGATTCTCCAACAGAGAGCTTCCCGAAGGCCTGAGGGCTAGGAAGAGCAGGGGCCGAGCATGATCCTCCTCCGAGGGTTGGAAACAAGGGACTATCTGGACCAAAGGCTGAGGTGGAAAGCAGAGGGCGAAGAGATTAGATGGGGCTGCTGCAGAGTCCAGCAGACAGGATTTGAGGTTTTGGGAAGGGAAAATGGAAGAGACAGAACAGAGGTCTCATGAGAGAAATTCAAAAGAACCAGCAGAGACAAGGCCTGGCACAGGGGAGCGAGTGGTCACTTCAACCTAGTAAATGAAAGAGTTGGGAATGTCACAGGTGCCCGCCCCCAAGGGAGGCAGTAAGCACAAGGGACCCGAGCTCTAACTGCTGCTGGAAGTGTGAAGTCCCATCGCTCCTGGCATCTCCATCCCTGGCTCCCCGCGGTGGTTCGGGGCAGGAAGCTATCAACAGATGCGGGGTAAACGGAAGGAGCCAGACAGCAGCACCTGCAGCCTTGGGCAGAAAGCCAATTCCCACCTGTGAAGAGGTGGCTGAGCCATCCCACGTGACAGTTTCAGCTCAACTCAAGATGCAGCCTTTTTTCACCTTGGTTTCAGGTGGCCAAGATGACTCTGTACATTCTTCAGCAGAGGTCAGATACCAGCCCTCAGCCATGTCCCCATAGCACTGCCTCAGACTCCAGACACCTGCTGTCCCCCCCGCATACATTCACCTGCCCTTCCCAGGAAAGAACGTCTCATAGGGGGAGCATCTTGAAGGGGACTCAGCCCCGCCCCCTTAGCTCCCGCCCCTTTAGTCCCCGCCCCCTTAGTCCTTTGCACCTCCGGCTTAATGAGCGAAAGCTGCTGGGGGCGCCTGGGTCACACCTTCTCACTAGACTGTAGCACAACACAGATCTGACTGGCAGGAGTTTGCTCATGAGGGGAACTTCCGCAAGCTGTGAACACATTACCTTCCGCAGGCGGCTCTGGGAGCTGCGGTTGCCTGTTCCGGGGAAGACTGCACTGATGTCCTGGTAAGTCCCAGCCTGGGAGCACTGAGGACACCTGGCACCTGGTGATTAAGAGAAGAGGCCATGACAGTGTCTGACCTGTCGCTGGCTCTCTGTACCCAGGCTGGTCCAGCCTACCTGGAACGGGGCTGAGCTGACTCTATAGCTAGACACAAACGGTGGTTATGTGCACTTCCAGGAAGGCAATGGAAGGCACCGCAGCCTTCTTTTTGTTCCCTTGATTGATCATGTGCCTAGGGAATCCAGCTTCCATGAAGTGAAGACTCAGGGACAGCTGGTAGAGGGTCTTCCTGGCATAAAAACAGAGGCTTCTGCACACTACCCCATAAAGAGCCTGCTGGTCAGCAAATCCCACCCTACCTGTGGGGCCTGAAAGCCACCTACAACCAGGGAGGCCTGGCCACTGTTATCCCGGATTCCTGGTGTGCATAAACGTGTAGGATAACAGTTATTGTTTTCACCCATGAAGGTTTCTGAGACACGGTCTCATATGTTCCAGGCTTCCCTCCAACTCATTATGTAGCTGAAGAGAAGGACAACCTCAAACTCCTGCTCCTTCTGTCTCTATTGTTCAAGATCTGGGATAACTTTCATGTGCTTCCGTACCCAGCTTATGGGCTGCTGGGGATTGAACCCCAGGCTTCATGCGTGCTAGGTAAGAGCTTTACCAACTGAGCCATATCCCTAACACTGTAAGCCGTGAAGTTCTGAGGCAATGTGAACACAGCAAGGGAGGAGTAATGCAAGACTTCCATCAATGGGTGTTGTGTGTGTTGGTGTGTGTTGGCAGATGAACTTCTTGGACCCTCCTATCCTCATCTATAGGGAAGGGCATTTCCAGTAGGTGTTATAACAGCCAAATAAAGAATCCCATGTAGGATATAGTCCCAGAAGAGCAAACCCTGAACACAGGTACCATTCTGTTACAAATCATCTCTGTAAGATTCTATCACAGAGCAGTAAGGGCTCAGACGATCTGGTTCAAGAAAGGCTGTATGTGAAAAGTGATGGTTAGCCTAGCCTGTTTGGATGCTCACCTTCCTGGACCTGGATGGAGTGGGGGAGGACCTTGGACTTCCCACAGGGTAGGGAATCCGGACTGCTCTTCAGACTCGAGAGGGAGGGGGAATGGAGTGGGGGGAGGGGGAGAGGAGTGGGAGGAGGGAAGAGGTAGAACATTTTTCAACAAAAAAGAAAGAAAGAAAGAAAAAAGAAAAGTGATGGTTGGATTGGTTCCCAAAAGGCCAGCAGTCTAGGGACACTGGGAGCCAGGAGGAAGATCATACCTGGCAAAGGGATGCCAGGACAAGGTCAGAAGCCAAGTGGTGGGGAAGCCAAGGTGCTCAGCGGAGGGTGTCTAGAAGGTACACAGGAGGGGAGGCTGTGGGTTTGTGGGGGTCGGGGAAGAGTTCTAGAATTAAAGAGGCTAGTAACTGATTGGAGGGAATCAGGTCTGTTGGAGAGCTCAGAGTCACTGTGGCACTATAGACAGGGCTTTGACACTATGACTCATTACACACCCACACCACACACATACACACACACCACATGTTGAGCATGGTGGTGGACATTTGTATTCCTAATACTTGAGAGACTGAAGCAGGAGGATCATGAGTTTGGGGCCAGATCATGGGCTACATAAATCCTGTCTCCAAAAAAAGGTCTTAACAAGGAAGACTTAATGCACACAACCTAAAAATACGGTGGCTTAGCTATACGACATGGCAGTGTTACCTATTCTCTCTCAGGGGTGTGGCTCATCGCCATCCCTCAGCATCTTGAGGGAGCATCTTGCTTCGAGTGGCTGGTCTAGGAAGAAATCGTTATCTGTAACCTCCAGTCTCTACCAAATTGTTCACACCATCGGGAAGCTGAGGATTTTGGTGTCGGGTTTTGGTGTGCGGTTCCTAAAACACTTGTCAGTGTGCTGAGCAATGGGAGCTCGGATAGATGTCTATATTTTGGGTGTGTCTATGGTCCCTGACTCAGAGACACCTCTTTACCAAATCACAGAAATCAGAGATTAGAATTCCTCTTCCTCGAGCAGGTCATGGAAGCTCAAGTCCCCAAGAAGCATCCAGCTAGACAAACCTTGCTGACTATCTCCGTCTGGTCACAGAGATTAGCCCCCCCCTCTGCCCAGGTGCACCTCCACACATGTCTAAGCTTCTGCCATGCTCAGACTATGATGTCTGTATAAAGGCCCAAAAGAGGAGAGGAGCGCCTGTGGGCAACTGAACACCCTGAGGGTCGGCATACCCAAACTGTAGGGTCTGGAGCTCCTGCACGGGGGACACTGCCAGCCTCTCCCATATCCCTCTTGTATAGCTGGCCTTCTTATCCTGACTCCCCTTGAAATAAACCAGTAGACATTCCCTGCAGTTCTGTGAGCTGCTTCAGCAGACTGAACTAACTAATCAGAACCTGGGCTTTAAAGCCAGCCAGTGGGAAGTACACAGCACGACGTGCTGCTTGCTCTGAACATTCCCATTTTTTAGCTCCTTTGTCTGTATCCATGCCTAGCCCACAAGGCCCTCTGTCCATGCCTGTAACTCATCTTCATGGGCCTTCCGTCCAAGTCCATATTTTATCTAAATGGCCCACTGTCCATATAAAGACCTCACTCACCCAGCCTCTGTCCATGTCTACAATTCCTCCACACATCCACTCTGTCCACATTATCTATGCTTCCTCTACACAGCCCAGTTGCCTGGGCTTGGAGAAGGTTCCGGGCATATTCCAGGAACCCACTGAGGGCCTGACTCTATGTTTACTCCGGTACATACAGCACATCGGCCTCCTCTGAGGTGTGAGCAACAAAGCAGACCCACAGGGCCATGTGGTAGGCAGGGGCTGTGTGGGACTGACTTGGGTTGGAGACCCTGGCATGGGCATGCTGAGACCCCAGTCCAGCCAGAATGCCTTCCCCATGAAGCTGAGAACGCCAGGCCTTACAGGGCAAAAATATCCAAGTGCCACATTTGTGGGTTCCCGCAGCTGACACCAGCTTGGCGTGGGTGCTCCTGGGGACCGGCTCCTTACACATGGTGCAGCAGCGCAGCTGCCAGCTTCGCGAGGCAGCTGTGAGAGGCGCCCCGCCTGCCCCTTGAGGTGCCAGTTGGGAGGCAGCCGACTCTCCTCCGCAGACTACCTGTGGCTGGGATGTATTTCCTGGCGACTGCAAATTTGCTTTGTTTCCAAGTCCTCCATCCGCTTCCCACCTGTCATCTCTCCCGCCACGCTCCTCCTCGCCCTCCCCCGCCTTCAATCAGCAGCCCCAGCCCCCAGCAATCTCATCGTCACCAGTGCCAGGCGGCAGGAACCACCTACACCATCTGAGCAGTAGCATCTTCCTGCCACGTGTGCCAGGCTGGGGCAGATGTAGAGCTGCCAGTGCCATGGGCCAAGGTCCAGGGCTCCCAGAGCTCCAGTGTTGACCTCCAGAGAGAGAGAAGTATTTGTTTGAGGGCCCCTGAAACAGAGAATCCAGAACGAGGGCCAGGCTTTGTGCTGCCCTTGAGACATGGAAGAGAGCCTCATGATACAGCAAGACTCATGAGCAGAGGGAAACGGTGTGAATGGGGAGATCTGCAGAGGCTATGGCCTGAACAGGGGCTCTAAGCAGACCGCGTGTGGGAACTATGTGAACCCCTCAACCTGCAGAAGAAGCTGGAACACGGCTAGGAATTTCCCAGATGCGCTCCTATCTGAAATTGCTCTTGGGCATCTGGGTCACTCCCGACTCTGCAGAGGGCCCCAGGTATGTGGCCTAACCACGGAGAGCACCTGGCCCAACCTGGGTTTCGAGTGCTGGGGTAAGGTGATGGGAATTCTTCCATTTTCCGTAGCACAGTTGTGTGGGAGGGGAGGAAGGACTGAGGTTAAGATGAACAGAAAAGGATTGAGGAGGGAGACAGGACCCGGTGAAGGGGGCGAGGCCTTTGAAACCTTCTCTTCCCTTCTCTTCTGGGTAGACTCTCCGTGGAGTCAAAGAGTCAGGAGTCAGGAGGGACTGGCACCCCTGGAGGAGACTGGCTCCCGAGAGTCGCCTGGCAGGCCCAGGTCCCTGAGGCTGATGCCCAGGTAAGGATTGATTTCACCTTTTCCAATAAATTCCCTCCATGTTGTCAAATTTATTTATGTTCACTGAAGGAAAGCTTTTTTTCCAGTTGTTTAGTTGTTTAGTTTAGTTGGTAGAGTGCTTCTATAGTATGGCAAAGCCCTGTGATCCTCCTCAATCACTACCTAGAAAAGGCAAGATGAAATAGTCTGTAATCTCAGCACTTGAGAGGTAGAGACAGGAAGATCAGACAGATGAAAAAGGTCATTCTCTGCTACACAGAAAGTTCCAAGGCAGCCTGAGCTCAATGAGACTCCATTTATATAAAATTACATGGATTCCCCAAAGCAGATGTAGCATGTTAATGTTTTGATACCTGTCTATGGTATTTTCTACAACCATACCCCCTTTTACAATTAGTTGTGTGTGTATGTGTGTGTGTGCACGCACGCGTGTTGAGGTGTGTGGAAGTCAGAGAACAGCCGAGGGGATCAGTTCCTTCCACACACAGTATGGGTCCCAGGAGTTGAACTCAGATCCTCAGGAGTGGCAGCAAGAGCCTTTCCCTACTGAGCTATCTCACTGGTCCACAAATATCTTTTGAAAACACAAATTGGTTCATACATCTCTACCGTCACTTGTACTATTTCAGAAAGTCTTCTGAGGCCTCTAGTCCCTCTGAAGCTGTGATTTATTTGCTATTCTTTTTTTTCCCGAGACAGGGTTTCTCTGTAGCTTTGGAGCCTGTCCTGGAACTAGCTCTTGTAGACCAGGCTGGCCTCGAACTCACAGAGATCCTCCTGCCTCTGCCTCCTGAGTGCTGGGACTAAAGGCGTGCGCCACCACCGCCCAGCACTCATTTGCTATTCTTAACATTTTTGAGGCACTGTGTGTGAAGTCCAGGGAGAACTCATCTCAGCTTGTCATGGCAGCAGGTCACCAGGGTCCTCTGTCCCCTGGGGATAGACAGGTGCCTGCTTCCTGTAACATAAATCATGGGTATTCAGTTTCCTTGCCAACAGATCCCAGTGTTCAGCCTTATTCATTTCCCCGGGATGAATAAATTCCTAACCGAGGAATAAGATCAAAGCATTAAAAAATACTAATTTTTAAAAATGTCTTGTCAAGTTGTCCTCAACACCAAGGTCAAGGTTCATCCTCACTGCTGAAGCAGATGTGGCCCAACCCACATTCTCTCCTCCCTGGCATGGATGCCAGCTACTCATCTACAGGTGTGCTCATCAGCCAGGCAATTTTCTACATTCTAGATGAGAAGATAAAGCCACACAGAGCAGAAGGCACAGCACCTGGCGGAAACACCGTTTGCACAGCCTATGGCAGCGCTATGTCCAGAGGGAAGGGAATTTGCTGGCAGAAGGCAGTGGACACAGTGGACTGCTGAAGCTCCCTCCCTCCCTCCCTCCCTCCCTCCCTCCCTCCCTCCCTTCCTCCCTCCCTCCCTTCCTCTCTTCCTTCCTCCCTCCCTTCCTCCCTCCCTCCCTTCCTCTCTTCCTTCCTCCCTCCCTTCCTCCCTTCTGTCCTTTCTTCCTCTCTCCCTTCCTTCCTTCTTTCCTTCTTCCCTCCCGTCCTTCTTCCCTCCCTCCCTC